TCTCTCTCTCTCTCTCTCTCTCTCTCTCTCTCTCTCTCTCTCTCTCTCTCTCTCTCTCTCTCAAGTTTCATAAAATAGTAGTATTAATGTGGCCTAAGCAGCTCCTCTAATTATTCCCATTGCAAATGTTGACTCTTTCTCTCTTTAGGCTTAATGTGAATTGGGGTTTCAAAATTTGCAGATAAGGAGGTCGTCATACCACGACGTGATTAGGGTTTCAGAGATACAGAAGGTACTCGACATTAGTGGGGTGCAGACTTATATCATTAACAGTGCCCGCGTCGTCTTCCTCAACGAGCGGCCGCAGCCCAGGCCCGGCAAGGGCGTCACCAACACCTGCATCATCTGCCACCGCTCCCTTCTCGACTCCTTTACCTACTGCTCCCTCGGCTGCAAGGTCAGTCATTCTATATCAAAATCCCTCTTCTTTTTTCATATCTATTTATCAGCATTTTTATTGCAATTTTAAATGCCCTCTCCTAATAATTTTTCATGAATTTCCAACCTTTTTTTATCCTTTCATCAGTATTTTTTCTGGAAATTCTTCCCTCTTTCATGTTCAATGCCACCCTCATTTCCCAGCATTTTCCTTGAAATCTAAACCCCTTTTAGATAGATTATCAATTTTAACACTCCATTTGGCCATTTATTGTAAAATTCCAATTTGTTTTGTTTCCATTTTAGAAATCTGTTTTAGCTTATTTCTAGTAAATTTCAAAGCTCAAATTGAGAATATTCCCTTTCTCATTTTCAATTCATCCTAAAACTTGGGGTCTTTGCATTTTCAGATAGCAGGAACTTCCAGAAAACATGGCCGTGTCAATATGGCGAAGGAGGCCACCGTGTCGGACACGGAGGAGTCTTATACGAATGTGCAGATGAGCTTCTCGCCGCCCACTCCTCCGCCCACCGTGTTCAGCTACCGCTCCGTGAAGAGGAGGAAGGGCATCCCCCACAGAGCCCCCCTCGGTGGAATTTGCCTCGATTATTAGACCATATTACGGACATACCCTCGTAGTAATAATGCCCCTGTGAAAAACCCTTTTGTCTTTTTTTTAGGGAAACTGCACTCGAGCTTCAATAAAAAGAGGCCGGTGTAAGCCCTGCACCACCACCACCTCCACCTCCGCAGAGGCCGGTGTAAGCCCTGCACCACCTCCACCTCCACCTCCACCTCCCTGTAAATATTTACATAAACGGACACCATAGTCATAGGAGGAAGAAATAGGAGATGATTCCTCTTCCCGTAAATACGAGTTTTGTCAGCATTGTATATGTGAAATCAGTAGAGAGAATACGCGAGTTTGTATTGGTTAAGAAAGTGTCTATATTTGGTATGAAATAAAGCCTTGCCTTTGTAATCTCTCACCCCTCAAAACTTTCCTTTAATGGAAAGACATACCGTCCGTACGACTGTACTTTTTCTTTTGCGCGTTAGGGACTGTAGAAGCGGCAGTGGCCATAGCCACGTGTCGCATATCGGTTCGTTGGAAGGCGGCATCTTATTTGGCCACGTGGCAAACGTGGACGTGCTTGGACTGTTCCAGGTCGGCGATGGGCCGAACCCTAAAAAAAGTTAAAACCGTGGAAAACGAGTCCTTGGAAATCAGGATCCCTCGTCCCCTCCTTGCTCGACACGTGTTGACATATGTGTCTTCGTGGCCGTGTCTGGTGAGAGTGATCGATATGGTATCTGCCGGCCAGAATGCTGACACGTCCGAGGGGCCACTTCTTTGCTCGCTATTGGTCGGTTTAAACTCCTCAATGTTTTGGACGAAATTTCAGTTTTACAGGTTTCGGCCAAGGATTGGGTGATCCTTTTCTAGCGGTCGGTTTTAAACTTTCAATATTTCGGACGAAATCTCGGCTTTACGGGTTTCTGCCAAGGATTGGCTGATCCTTTGGTTTGGTTTCGGTTGGTCTCTCTCTTATTTGAGCGCCTTAGTGACGGGGTGGCAATGGACCCGACCAGATCCATCCGGGATCGGATAAGTAGATTCTATTTTGGGTCTAGGTATGATTTTAAATTTTGGATTTGAAAGGTCGGGTCCAGGTTCAAAAGTTGGATCCGAATACTATTTAAATCCAGATTTAACTAGATCCGACCCGTTGCCACCCCTACTCTCCCTCCCCTTTTTTTATCATCTCTCTCTAAGATGGAAGTGATCATGATGGAATGGAGATTGGAGGCTGATGGATGTGAATGTGATGCTCAATTCTTTGGATTGTTTTTATTCTTAGTTTGGTTTGTTTTTTTTCTCTCAGTTGAAATTGAAGTTTAAGTGGGGAGTGGGAGGGCCCATGATCGATGGATGTGAATCTCCCTCTTCTATCTTCCCCAGCATCATTCCAAATAAAATATCTTTTTATGCTCCCTCCACTTGCCTCCTAACTCTATCTCTTCTCTTCTCTTCTCTTGTAATAATAAATTTAAAGGCTTGCAAGGGGACCCACCAACTTTACCCCCTTCAATGAAATACACCCTAAAGGCAACGAAATTAGGGAACCTCCTAGAGGTCACCAACTCTCTCTCTCTATAGAGGCCACCATCTCTCTCCTCTCTAGAACCCACCGTCTCTCTCTCTAAAACCCACCCACCATCTTACTCCCTCTCTCTTAAACCTATGTTAAGGGCAAAATATTAGGGTTTAGATGCAATGATGTCACATAAAGCCTAACCCACATCTTAGAAAGCCATGTCACATGGCACTTGTATGGCCTTATCATAGTGGCTATAAGGGCCCCACCCCACCACAACCCTAGGCGGCCGATGCCCTCTTATTGGACAATTTTTTATGGGGATGTGACGTGTTGGGTCTGGATTGTCCAGATTACCACCAATCGATGGGGGTTTTTGTTCATGTACATGAATGAGCTAAGTTTGTTGTTTTTTCTTTTGATTAATCCATCTTACTAAACAACTTATTGGTTGAATGATCTGCCCAAATGTTCATACAATGCGACAAGAGAATGTTAGCTCATTTTTGTCCATTCTGACGGCTACTTTCAGCTCTAGGGCTTTTCACACCTAAGTTTCGCTGTGTGAACTACATGTAGCTTTAGGGTTCTTCTCCATCGGTGTCAAAAACACTCGAATTGGGCTACGACTTGGAAATGCCCAAGGGGTCCGAGCTTGAGTCCCTCCAGATTGACTTGTGCGAGTCTATGTTGAGCCAGGTAATTTTAAAGAAATTTCAGATCAGAATCTTCATAATCCTGATCTCGAACCATTCGGACTATTCTGAATCGGCTCAACAAATTTTAAATCATGATGTTAATAGTATCTATATGGTCATGCTTCCACCTTGTCACACAACTGAGCTATATTCCGTATTTTACAAAAGGTGGCACTTGAACCCGTATATTTGGGGTCCATACATGCACTTGTGAAAATCTCAACCCTCAATTCCACTTTGATGTGTCATCCAAATGAAGATGTCTCCATGGGGCTTTTCTTATTTGAGAACTTTATATGTGCATCCTTTGTGGCCTTATTTTGCCCATTTGTTATTTTCAATGAAAGCAATATGGGACTTAAAAAGAGTAGTTATTTTCCTAGAACAAGTGGCAAAAGCTAAGATAAGGGTCATGTATCAACATTTATGTGATGTTGTGCATGACTCGGCATGAGATATTATCATGGGGCAAGTATGGAAGACCAACTTGTCAACTTTATTGTGTTGTTTGGTCCCACCAAGTTTTTTAATGAGATATTAATGAAGCTACACTTGCGACTCACGCATGTCAAATTGTGGATGGCACAGGGTTTCTATTAAATGTTGGGGAGGATTTTCAGCCATTTAGATGAATTTATATAAGTTCGCTGGTTTTTTAACAAGTCAATTTGGATCATCTAAACCATCTACCACAATACCTAATATACTTTACAATGCTGATTTGTTATAAGCCTATTTATGAGGTATAGATTTATGATATTAGTTTTATATATATATATATATATGAGTAATGATCTTATGAGACCCTCCCACATTCATGTGTGTACCTAAAAGATCATC